CTCCTACGGATGGTAAATCAGACCCACCTCCTCGAATTCCCCTTGAAAAATTTTTGTGCAAATACACTATTTATTGAATAAATACTCTGAAAATAATTTGTTTGTCTTCATCTAAATTTAATTTTTACATCTGATGTTTGAATAAAGTCTGAGGTCTAAAAGGGACTCTTGTACATGTGAAAGATACGGAAAGAAGGCCTCCAAAGTATTTTACTCGTAGAAAAATTACATATTAGCATTACACGGAGATAATTACGATCAATTCCTCTTTCATTGATTAAATTATCTTAATGATACCAGCTGTCAAGTATTATTCACCGTTTCTTGTAATTTCACCAATTTTATAAGCGTAAATAAAATATCGCCTGCGGCCCTTGCCAAAAAATTCAAACCGTTCGTAATGGATATTATATGTAAGCATCTACTTTCAAGATTACTGGATCAAGGACTTTTCTGTTATAACTATCGGAGTGAGAGATGCAGAGAACAGTAGCGTGACCCTCGAGTAATTTAACTCGTGGAGAAAACACGTTTCGTCTTTATATGGATTTATTAACATTTTTTTATTACTGTCACTGAGAAACCAACTGGACCAAATTTGGGCTCAAATAAAAATTGAAATCAATTCGTACATTTTATATCTATATGATCCACTAAATTTCGTTTGAATATATTAGTCTTGAATAATCATATAATTATATAATCATATAATCATATAATCAAATAATCATATATACATATGTATTTAATTCTTAATCTATATATATCCATATATGTATATACTTAGCTTGTTATACATACATGACACGAATAGTTATGAAATTCCTATTCGTATCCATGAAATTGGTCAAGTTCCCATGCGTTCGAAAGGCATAACAAAATCTGATTGTTTTTAATTAATTAAATACGTAAGGTTCGACTTATAATCACTATCAGATATGATTATTCTGCCTGTCACAATTAACGCGTTGAGAATTTCTGTACCTGTCAAGAATACAAGATTTGAATTTCGCGCCAAGAAGAGAAAACGCGATAGTAACGGTCGCGTAAGCCTTTACACTAAATAATAATAATGAAATTTACCATAAGAATCATAAAAAAGATTATTTTTCAGATTATTTTTGATCTTAAATTATTATTAGACTTTCAGTTATAAATTTGTAAGATTATTTATGCGTTAAATATATTCACGATTAAACTGTATTCTATGGGCATTGATAGTACCTATATTGTTACATATCCAGTGTTACGGTGCATATTTAACTATTATGCACTCGTAATACGTAATATGTTAAAATTATAATAGCGACAGTGAAAGTATCGTGGATTCGATGTTTAAGATCGAAGATAAGACGTATCAAAAATAAATTTCTCCCGCGCACCGATTGCTCAAGATAAAAAAAATTCGATCGAACACACACGACCCGTTCCAGATCATTCGAGAAACGTTTCGATTACAGCTCTATCAGGTTACTTGTGTAGCTGCTGATAAATGAAACGTGAATATAAAAAATAATTAATGAAAATTGATGTAACATATGCTATATGAAAAAAATTGTTTGAATTTAAAAAAATTGATGGTCTAAGCAATAATAAGTTATACAATTTTTTTTAATTATTAACAAAAATTGAAATAATTAATGAAAACGAGAAGTTAGTACATTTTATATTAAGTACGCACAATGTATTATGCATCCCCGAAAGCAGCCATCAAGATCAGCAATGAAAGGCCGACCTTTTGCAGATCATCCAGATTGTTCGATCCGTTTCAAGGTCGTCCCAAACTGGCGAATCAGCCTAGACGGAAAAAACTGTTACACGTTACGTGTGTTGGGATTCGATCACAGCGAAAGTTTAAAGCAGTAACTGGATGTTGCATTAGTGCCTGATTTTTGTTCCCTGAGGCAAGTTTAGTGGCTGTCAGACGGGACCTTTAGATGTACGGGTGGAGCCGGATCAGCTTTTGGGCCCTAGTGTATGATCTCTCATTTCGATTTGAGTAAGTCTAAATCTGTTTCTAGAGTGGGGGTAGGTTTTCAGATGCTTAACGGACCCCACTATTTCACTTCGGACGGAGTATCCAGAGTATAAAAGATTTGGGATTGAAAATCTACGACATCACAAGTAACCGTGAGCAACAAAAGGAACCATGTCTCTCAAGGTGGGTTCATATTGGAGTAAAGTCCCGTGTCTTTGGATGGATCAAGAATGTCGAGTGAAATTTTGAAATTGTCTTTTGACGGATAATTAACATTTTTTTTTACTTCAATTTCTTTCTGTCCAAGATTTGTTATCATTGGACGTAATAATTGTTTAATTGAAACGGAATGATCTGTGATCATCGATAAAATCTCGAGTTAAAGTAACGGCCAAAATTTCTTAGGAGAACGGTATTGAAAATTTGTCAAATTTTTGTAGTTCGTCATCCTCGCCTGCGCTGTGGCCGCAGCCAATGCCGGATACCTCGGCGCCCCAGTTGCACAGTACGCTGTGCCCCACGCCTTGACCGCCACCTCCGACAATATCCTGCGCAGCCCAGGAAACCTCGCTCAGGTCGCCACCCAGACTAAGACCATCTCCACCCCCTACTCCAGCAGCAGCAAGTCCGACATCCGTGTCAGCAACCCCGGTGTCTACG